TCAATGCCCAACGATCTGTACTAATAAAAAACCTACACTCAAAAAAAATATTGATAAATTTACCTACAAAGTAAATGAAATAATAATCCCTCCGTGATATGTGTATTGTATAATAAATAGATATCTTGTTCTCAAATTTGGAGTTTAACGTGATAGAAGCCAGTTTACAAGCATCATCAAATTGATAGTGGTAAAGAAATGTTCAGTAGTTGAGCTGGCCTGAATGATACAAAAGGTATCGCATCACGGTTTATCATGATGTCAGGTGGCTGCAGGTTATAAAGAGAGCGGAAAAATATCTCTTCATAGTACATTCAGACTGTTTATGAGTTTCGGTTGTCTCAACTCACCATTCTTTTTTCACAGTAAAGTGATACCGAAATCGTAAAACATTCGACGTTTGCGTCACACGTGACATCGATGGTTAACCTGGCAGTGTAGTTGCTTGTTTCGTCAGATAAACGTTTATTTTGACATCCGTTAACATGTTTATTGTGTCCTTGGCCAACGAAAACTCACTTCATCGATTTCAGGTAACAGTAAGTGTTAGTATAACCATATAATCCACGTGAGTATATAAGTCCTCGCATCTCCCGCTCGCGGTGTTACCTTACTCAGTAATACAGATGTAATACACCACAATTAGTTGTTGCCGTTTAAAGAAATAAACATCTGAAGGACTATTATCCAATGGTGATAAAATTTTGCATACGGAAGCCACACTGAAGCATGCAGCATTATCGAGAGGGTATATTGACTGTTAATTGTCTTCTATAAAACACAGACAAATGAGGTGGGGTACTGGAGAAGTTTGTTTGCGAACATGTCTCACTTTGAGTCACTAGGTGAGTTTATTTCTTAGGTTTCGTGGTTTGTCCAGATTTTCGCTGCCATTATGACCATCCAGAAGCCTCAGATCATTTATTGTGACTGGATTTTCGTTCATGGTTGGATCTAGGCTGTTGGCGACTGGACGAGTTTGCTGTGGAACGTTTCAGAAACTTGGAAATCAATGGAGGGTGACCAGTTGAAGGATTTTTTCAATGATTTCTGGTATCCAGTATGAAGTAGTACATTCAGTAGGTTTACAATTTCTGTCAAAATTATGCTCAAGGTTATTTCCCCCAGCCTAAGCTGAAAAGAGAAGAAGAAAAGGAAAGCACGAGCAGAAACCGAAGAGTGATGTACCACACGAGATGAAATTGGGAAGAGAGAAGTTATTATCTTCTTAGAGACACTCGAGCTACGTGTAGACTTAAATTTATGCGCATAAAAGTGACTTACGATTCTCCTACGTAAAATTCGCACAGGTTTTTGGATATACCGTGTCTATTTGTAGACGCACGGGGAAAACTGACTCTACATCAAGGTGATGTATACTTTGCTAATGTGTACTTTACTGACCGTACAACCTAATCTAGTGGAAGGCAGTCAAACGCCCTCTGCAATAACGTCAGGACCCACTAAGGGAAAAGTACTTGCGACTGACGATAGCCTTAATTTAAACGTTCAGGGGTCCTAGTATGTTTTTACTAGCCCATAAAGTATATCTAGTGACCAAACGAGTAACAGACTCATCGTCTGTGAGGAACTTATTAAGTGAGGAACGAAAGACAGCGAACCTGCAGTACGTATTTCCTCAGGAAGGCTATTCCAGATGGGATAGAACATACTGAGGGAGAAATTACCTCGCACATTGGTCTTACAATACTCAGTGTTAGCTAATTGTTTGTGATTACGTATATTGTAAGTAGATATTGCAACTATTTTAGTCTCTGGACGGCATGAGTGCGTTTGCTTACAAAGTAATTTATGATAAAGTAAAAGATTGATTCTAATTCGCCTCTTCCAGGGAGGTTGTAGTCCTAGTATGTTGCATCTGGAGATGTAGTCAGGGCTGTAGTCAGCTCCTAGTGTTCTTAATGTAAAGTGGTGTTGTACCCCCTCGGTTTTTAGTTTGTCGTCTACTTGTAAGCTGCTTATGACAAATGAACAGTATTCTAGAATTGGACGAAGGCATACTTTGTGGATTAGGGCCCTTGATTCAGTACTATTAAAGTCACGAGTGATGCATCCTGGGAGTCTGCGTGACTTAGCTGCGCCATGCGCTGCCTGCTCAGAGCAATTCAAGTCACTGGAATATCTGAGCCCTAGGTGTGAGACAGAACTAAATTTTGGTAACTGTGGTCTAGATACTTCAAATATCAAGCCAAGGTTACTGTTACCAAAGTAAACCCACCCGCATTTGTTGATGTTGAGCTGCAGAAGGGTATCAGCACACCATGTTATGAACGCAGAAGCGAAAGGTGCAATAGCGCAATTCCTTAAATTTCTTCAAGTATTGAAAAGACGCGATGCGTTCGTGAGATCTGTGTAGTTGTGGGCTTCATCATCCATCAACGCTCCATATGATTTTCTACCGCGTCAATAGTGAGGGCAGTTACTAAGTTTGGCACCGAAATAATGACGACGTTCGACTGCAAAGCGGTGCAGAAACTCACAACGGCAATTTGAGCGGACATTTCAGAGTTCTCCCGTATGGACGGTAACGCCCAACTAAGAGAAATCTGTTGGAAGCTTGAGAAAATCCATGACTTCTCATGTTGAAATGTTTTACTACTTACTTAGTCATAGTCTGTCTATGCAGTTTCGCTTGATGAACACACACTGGGACAGTCAGCACAACTGCTTTGCTTAAGAAGCGCTTCAACACCACCACAGACACGCTGCAGAAATAACGGTGACACTTCAGGTATTATGCCGTCATGAATTTTATATGATCGAACACCTGTCTACTAATATTCAATACAATCTGTTTGAGGTTCGTCTCACCTTGTGAAAGTTTGTGTTGATGTGGCTTGCAGTGGCATCTGGAATAATTCGTTTTCTTCAAACGTTGCGTTGTTATGGTTACTTCGTTGCCTTTATCTGGATGTTGACATTCTAATTGGTACCCAGGGGTCTATACAACAGGCCTCAGTGGTTTTGCTGACTTCATCCGTAAAGATTTAAACTCAGGCTGTTTCAACTACGGTGAGTCTTGCTCGTAGTTACCACCACATCTGACACGACGAAAACATATATTTGCGAAACAAGGGGGTGACTGTGAACCGAAATTGTCTGGAAGCACTCAGTACCTACCATTTAAATAGCTACCATTTGCTACCGACTGCAAGAGGTCGAATATTGTTAACTTTTATAATGTCGAATTTTTTTACTGAAGAGGGAGGACACATGCTACTACCTAAATGAAGGAGCAGAATGTGAAGGGAATGTGTGATTGACTTGTGCTCAGTGGATGCTGAAGTGTTGGGTGCCTAGTACCAAAATGAGTATTTTCGCATGAACTTGAACGGTTTCGTTTTCCTACGCCTGCTGAAGTAGTCCAGGGTGATAGGAAATTAGCGTTGTTGAGTATTTGGGATTTGTCCTGGTGCGAACTTGACAGACGCAAAGATCAATCACTAATTATTCGGACTTGTCATATATCCAGGAATACGAGACCAAGGAAGAACACGATAGCGTAGTCAGATGGAATAGTATATTTGGATGGTTATGCCAAAATACCGATGCGTTCCAACTAACTGGCTAGAGAGTCGAATACGAGCAATGCAACGTAACACGACAGCGTGCCAAATGGCGAGGATGCTTGACCGGGTGTCGTCAAACCCTAGGCTATTGATTTTGGGGAAGTGTGTGACGCTACGACTACGTCTGAAATTACTTGTATAAATGAGCTACTTGTATTTCGATCCAAGTAAGATTTTAAAAATGGAAAATGTCGCTACATAGCGTTGGGTCAACGCGGTAACTAGCATACGTCTTCTTACATAATGCTGAATTACTGAGATCTGGCAAACGTGCACTCAAAGGAATATGTTGGACCCAGGAGATTGTGGATAGCGACTGAGACAATTTGCTTTCGACAACCATAAGTAGCAAATAAGGAGTCAGTAACAGAAGTACGACGTGTTTATTACAAGCACCTTGGTGAGGAAATCCCGCAGGTAAGATTCAAAAAGTAATTCAAAAGTTATTCACCATTTAATAGCAGTCAGTAGTGAATACAAAGTTTACAAGGGATAGAAGTAATTAGCAAGTTCACTGGACACTACAAGTACGCCCTATTCTACAGATATGGCTAAGCATCGAAATTTTCGAAGTCTGAACTTCCAGAGGGAGTGCGTATCTACCACTCAAAACTTGCGAGTGGGCTCTAAAAGAGGCTGGAAAGATTTTCTGCGTGCATCATAGCAAAGAAATGTTTTATCACCCACAATAGTAAACTTGACCAGCTCCAGCGGCCAATTAAAAGCGGAATGGCAGTATGCCGGTTGGACTCCACTTTTCTGCAGGAAAAAGGAATATGTAGATGTGTTAGATGATACAAGAAAGTATTCTAGGAGTTAAGTTTGCTCCATCATACAACTGTTAGCATTATTGATATTTATTTGCGTGTACGTATTTGTAACAGCCAAACTATGGTTATCCCGGCTCGGACCCAGTGTCCAGACCGGAACAGGCTGTATCTCCACCAAAAGTGTGCAGCTACGTGGTGTACTTAGCTTCTGCGAGTTGCACGTCGCCAAAATGTATCCATAGGGTAACAGAACACAAATGATTTGGTTTTATCTACGTAAAATCTATGGTGTCACGTAATCATTATGAAATGTCTAACGAAAAGTGACTCAACAGTGCCGCCTCGATGTTATGCAATCAGCGATAAATTCTTTGATATAAAATATTGAATTCGGTAATCTTCCCGTCATCTGCAAATCAGATGGAGGAACAATACCTATGGAGAGCAGATTAACTAATAATCTATTATCTCTGTTATTATAGGATTTCCAAAGCCAGGAGGACCTGTGCGATTATTTTGGATCAAGAGCGCATCCCGGTAAGACAGAATGAGGACTCAAGGAACAATCGTTCACTGTCCTACAACACGACGTTTGAAGTTAATGCACTGAGCGCGCTACGTTGAAAGTCGACGCTACGCAATGAGTGTTGAGAAAGTTGCAATTTTAGATGCTGGTGCTCAGTATGGGAAGGTAGAAGACTTTCATTGGGGAAAACTTGCCAAAAATCTGTTACAGGTTATCGATCGCCGTGTCCGAGAACTGTCTGTTTTCTCTGATATATTACCGATCAATACTCCAATTGAGAAGCTTATGAAAGCCGACTACAAGTACTGTTATAGTATAATAAGATCTAGTTTTGTAGAGCATTCATACTTTCTGGAAGTCCTGATTCAGTCTATCAATCACTATGCTCTATGTGTGATCCTTTGCTGTTTGATGCGAAAATACCCATCCTTGGTATTTGCTACGGGATGCAGGTTTGCCTTTTTTTTTTACCTCCTAATAATGATTCAGCTTATAAATAAGGTATTTGGTGGTCAGGTGATGGAAGGTGATACTAGAGAAGATGGAGTGTTTTCTGTTGACTGTGATACGACATCACCCTTATTCAAGTACTGCAGCGATTATTCTAGTCTAACATATTTGTAGAGGCCTTTCAAAGCAAGAGCATGTACTGTTCACCCATGGAGACCATTGTGTCACAGTTGCTTCTGGATTCAAGGTTATTGCGAAATCCGGTTCTATTATAGCAGGTTAGCTTAAATTACTGAAATGGGTTCATAGTACAGGCATTGCGGACGACGAGAAGCGTCTGTATGGCGTTCAGTTTCACCCAGAGGTGGATCTTAGCCCGTGCGGATTGAAAATTCTGAAAACTTTCTTTTCGGTGTTTGCAATTTGAAGGGCGACTTCAAAATAAATGACAGAGTAGAAACGTGTACTGCCAAAATTCGTGAGGCTGTTGGTAAAAACAAATTCTGGTAAGTTCCATGAACAGACATATTGATAATGTTCTTGAGGTTATTTCTGCATGCCTTGGTAAATAAACCGTCCATTTGTATATTCTTTTGTATCCGTAAAACGATTTTATCGGTTTCATTATGACCACGGTGTTCGAATGCTACATGAGTTTTTGAGGTCTATTTGGTGGCTACTCCAAAGTTGACTGACCAAGGTTTTTAGTATGGTTTTCACTGTTAGCTATGCGAACTTTCTGCTTTTAACTCACCAAGTAACCAAACTCCTTGTTTCGTGACCTAAAAGACTGAAGTTTAGGATCCGCTAACCGTGAAATCAATGCGTCCACAGTTGATCTACGCGGTCGTCAGTATGCGAATTCCTTTGGTTTTTACTTTCAGACACTTTAAATGTAAATTTGTGGTGCAAACGTGCGTGATCGTCATTTATGCTTGATGGTACTAGCTAAAAATCAATAGCAGTTTTGAAGGAGTATTTGTGCCTTAACCTTGTCTAAACCACTATGTTATTCGTTTCATATACATTTCTCTGTCTACTGTTTACGACTTGTTACCCTTATTTTATTGTCTTCCTTAATATTGACTTCTGATAATGAATATGGCAAAATGGGTCTTAGCACAATGATGCTGGGTTTCATTTTTTTTACCTGAGACAGAATCAGCGTAGAACCTCGCACACAATTGCATCGGTTCAAGTTACCACTTTTCACAGTAGTGTACAAAGACAAGTCAATAAGAAGTGATATCAAAGTAGGCAAAGTTGTGTGCGAGAATAAATAATTTGAAGATAAAAGTTAGTGCGAATATTCAAGACGTCAAAGAGTGAATACATCTGGGCCACTGAGACCAATTTCCAACCTTCATGAAGAGTTGCGAACCGTGGATTCCTTTCGTTTCACGGACCCCAGTTAGGTAGTCCACATCTCCCCACATGGCCCAGACTAACAGTCAAAGACTTCATGGACTCGCAACACATCATGATTTGGGCACCTTGAATCTTATTCCAACTGAATCCAGCTTCTCCTAGCATGGCAGTGGTTCAGCATGCGTAACACATGACCAAGCCATTTCAGACGATAAAGATTCACAACCTCATCAATCGACTTCTCCTTCTTGTATAACACCCTTTGCCTGACCTCAACATTGCTCACACGGTGATTCCACCAAATATGAACAATACCATGAAGTCATCTTTGATCAAACACCTATAACCGCTCCATGTCTTCTACTTTTAACAGCTGTTTAATAGCCGTACAAATGGACAGGATGAATTGCAACACAGTATACTCGTTATGTGATCGACAGATATCTCGCCAGTGCCACAGATAACGCAATATGACAAATGCTAAGCGGGCCTTCTATATCCGTGCTGAGATTTTTTCAGCAACCAGCTCGTTTGAGCTGTTCATCTTCTTAACGTTTATTTTGTGCCCTTCAGGTTGCGTCTAGCCAGATTGCTGCAAGATGTTATTAGGCTTTTTAAGTTGAGAAAGGATTTGCAGCAAATCAGTGTTTACCACTTCTTTGAGAAGACTTCCGTAAACTTTAAAGATTTCTTGGCCCACATTTCACCTTCAGTTATTGAGAATTTTATGATCACAATAACTAATAATTTAGCGACTGCATATTTTACCTTGACACAGTCTCACTTCTCTAATTGAAATGAGAAATATTTGCTCAAAGAAATGTACATCAAATTATCAAAGGATCGACTGCTATTTGGCGCCTGCTTCGGTCTGGGCTCCCGAGCTGTATCTCAGTCATCACACAAAATACTAGATCACAGTAGACAACGATAATTTCGGGGCGCTTACCCAACTTTACTGCAAGTATCCGACTCTTCTGCACTGCGAGCACCACAGCTAGTCGTTCTATTAATTGTCATCATGTTGTTCTTGCTGTTTTCACTTATTAACTTCATTATCTAATTGCAATCATTTTCGCTCTTGTTTTTATTTTCACTTCACTCAGCTGCTCTCCATTGCTTAGACTTCTGGTCTGTCTGTACTGTTTTGAGTCGCTAAACAGTTGCTCTCGTAAAACTGTCCTCCAGTGCGATATCTGACTCAGCTATCTTGTAACCACGCGTACCGTTTAAGACCACCACCTTCAACATTCGCATCTTGATGCAGGTCGGATAACAGGCAGGTTTGGCTAGGACTGCGGAAAGCCTTGCTACTGATGTATGCTGCATCTCAGAGACCGTATACAAATCCCAGAGAAGTGCTTCGAATTAAATCCCCATCTATTAGTTCAAACTGTTTCATGTGCTCTTATCCAAGGACCCTATGGCATCAGCAACCAGCCTCGCTGGTGTCACTGTTGTACTAAGCTCTATATCTAAAGCTGCATTACTCGACTGGATTCCCATTAACATTCGTCTGTGTACTGTTAGGCTCAAAGGTTTTTCTCAAGTAAGAAGTAATCGGCAGTAGAAATGATATCTCTTTGTCATCTTTGCTTATGCTCCGATGGATTGCAGCCGGGATGTAACCAAGAATGAATTATATTATCAACTGGGTGACCTCAACTTGAATGCTCAGGTCGAGCATCTAGGTTCAGAAAGGAGTCGTTTAGGTGACCACTGGGATGTAGTTGACTGCAAATCGGATAATGGGTGTCGTCTTCTGCAACTTTGCACATCATAACCTATATCTAGCGAGTACCGGATTCTGACACTGCCGTTATACTACTTGGCGTCCTCCTTCTGCTACTCAAGCCGGGACTCATTTGCATATTGCTATCAGCTGCCGATGGCTTGGGTGCATACTGGGCTGCCACTCCATATGAAGTACTTTTCTGGACTCTGATCATGCTCTAGTGTGTGCTAAGCTTATCTTGCGTTTTGGTGGCCATCAAAATCATCGTCCTAAACGGGTCAATGCATGCAGATTAGTTGTAACTAACATTGCAGCCAAATACCTATCCGAGATGGATTCGAGGCTAGCTACCGATCCTCCAGAAAGGGTAGACGAGCATTGGCTGCACTTACAAAACGCCATGAAAATAGCGAGTAAAGCCGCTTGCAGTTTGGAAGAACGTTTCACTAATAAACGCTGGGTGTCTGCGAGCTCTCTGCAACTCCTTGATGCCCGTTGAGCCGTTTTGGTGGGTAGTGAGTACAATGGTTCCCGTAAGTCTCTTACGCGAAAGATTTCATAACGCTTTCGCAAGGACTGTGAGGCTTGGTAGTCAGAACACGCGAGTGAGATGGAAGCAGCATCTACATCAGGCAATATTCGAAAGCTGTTCCAGCTCATCCGAGCCACTGGTGTCAGTGAGACGGTATGTGAGGTAGGTGGTACTCCAATAAACAATCTTTAAAGGCTCCTGGAACCCTGGGTGGAGCACTTCGAAAAGCAGTTTAGCTGGCCCATTAGTCTGGCGTCTTCTGTTTCAGTGTATCGTGTTCCATGGTCAGTTAACACTGACCTATCTAACGAAGGGGAGGCCCATATAAAACTCCAATTTCTAAAACACCACAAGACACCTGGCCCAGACAACTTACTCTCGACTGTTTTTAAGGATGGAGGAATGAGCTTAGTCAGGGAACTGACTAGATTAAGAAGGTATAGCAGACTGAGAGTGTTCCACCACTCTGGAATAAAGCCGTTGTTGTGTCCATCTTATAGTCTACGTAATGTATGTGACACTCCTCGGGGTATTAGTCTTACCAGTCGCATCGAAAATATTGACTGCTATCATATTTCGCAAACTCTCCAAAACATATGAGAAGGTAACTCACTAGGACCGGACCGGATTTCGTCCTGGTCGTCGGTGCACTGACCATGTGTTTACCCTCCACCCGACTCTTGAACATCGTCACACGTATTGCACGCCAACAGTCGTTATGTTCTTTGACATTAGGACTGCCTTCAATTTGTTGGACAGAGCAGTACTCCGGAATTGTCTTTTAAAAGGGGACGTGTCTGAGAAATTTATTAACATCCGGAAAGCCCTATATAAATAAAAGCACCTCAGGTGAAATGAGGGCATACAACCACATGTCTCCGTTGTTCCAAACTGGCAGTTGGGTTTGGAAGGGTTGCCCAATTTCTCCATTCCTCTTTAACTTTGCCATCGACGACATTCTTGAAACAGCTCAGAAGATGTGTGATGGTGTAGATCTGCTACCGGGAGAATGGCTATTTGACCTTGAATATGCGAATGATATTTTCTTACTGCGTGATAACATGCAGGCTATTCAAATTGCACTTAATCAGTTGGCGATTAATATACGTTAGTATGGTATGTGCTTTGGACCATTGAAGTGTAAAGTATTTTTGCAAGGTTGGCAGGAGCCTGTACCTGTGCTCATCCTTGCTGGTGAGCCGTTGGAAGTAGTCGAAAATTACGTGCATCTGGATAGTGTGTGAGTGCTGGTGGAAGTGTGTTGATGAAATTTCTAACCGCGTATCGAAAACCAGAGTGGCATACCCCAATCTGAGTCACCTGTGATGCCGTCGTGACGTTAGTTTGATCATAAAAGGGGTTAACAACGCTTCGGTGCGAGTAGTTCTGCTCTATGATTGTGAAACCTGCCGTCTCGGAGCTGAGGATGTGCGACGACTCTGTATTCGATCATCGTTTCCGTATGAATGCTCATATCCGATGGCAACACCTTGTAAGTAATTTTAAGGTGTTTTGGTATGGTGGAAGTGGTTATTCACTAGGTTAAGTCATCTGCAAACATTGGCTTCAGTGGCTTGGACATGTGTTACGCACATCTCAACGGCTTTCATACTGTTCACTGTTTGCTAGCCCTGGGACGGGATGGAAAAGGCGAAGGGATGATCAGTGTATGACTTGGCCCCGTAGGTTGAGGGATAGTTGTATCGGGTTAGCATCTGTTGGTGTATCATGACTCCCTGAGTGAGGTCTGAAAGATCACTCACTTTGGATGGTTCAAGACCACTTTCAAGGATAGGCTAAATAGTTAACATGCGTTATCATAGTACATAGGATATATCAACTGATTAAAAACTTCCAATAATACTTAAATACAACAAACTACATAATAACAGTTTGCTTTGTCATGTCTCCTCTTGTCTTTACTGTCTTATTCCTGCAGTTTGCTCAACTTTTTTTATCCTACAAGCCATCAGGATACCATTAATGGTTTCAAAACTACACTAAAAATTTGTTAGGGTTTCCAGCAAATGAAGTCTGTTGAGCTGAATTGAAGGTTTTGTTGACCTAAACTGGTATTCTAGGCCATGAGATAGTTTTCGAGATACATAACTTGAAGACATTTCGCTCCACCTGCAAAAGTACTACCGAACAAGTATAATAAGCCACTAACTATTTACTTCGTAGGATCACTCAGTTATAGGGGAGTACGGAGAGTCTGCAGCTAAGGTAATTTCAACCAGTAGTGGTTGCCAAATGTATCCATTTTGTTCGTATTGCACTGTTTTACTGTCTGAAGACCAGCTTAAACAAAGTCATTCATCGTCCAGTATGCAGATGAATTAGCGCAGAGGGTTAATCCAAATACAAGCTTTGATAGCTCGAGAATTTTCATAATGCAAAGCACCTGTCCCTTTGCGCGGTAATTACTTACTTCAGGACTGATTTTAAGTACTTTACCACCCCCTAATGTTCATAAGTGGATTTCTTATCTGTTTTAGATTTTGCTTAGTGGTGGTGTTGACTCCACTGTATGTGCAGCTTTGCTTTCGAAAACTTTGGATCCTTCTCAAATTATTGCTGTTCATATTGACAATGGTTTCCTGAGGAAAGATGAATCTACGAAAGTTATCGAGTCGTTAAAATCATTGGGAATTAAAGGTGACTACATCCTACTTTTTTGCTTTAATATGTTTAGTTCATTTAATAAGTGCAGGTCTTCGGTTCTTATCTGGAACTACAATGGTTCATGTGGACGTGGTGACAGAAGCTTTGGCCCCAGCCTCTATTAGTCCCACTAGAACACAAATTGATTCTGGTAGTCGCATAGATTGCTATTTCTGATCAGTACTTTTTTTTAGGAGTAAGTACAGGAACACCAGAAGAGGCATCAGATCCAAGCACCAAAGAGTGCAAGTCAACACTAAATTCCACCACACAGAGTGTGCCAAATACAGATTCATCTGGCCCCAAAAGGCAGTTACATCTTAGTGGGGGTGGTATGCATCCTCACAGAGAACAGCGAAATATTCCTATTGGGCCCCTCAGACTGGTCACTATCTTTCCTGAAGACAAGCGACAGATAATTGGGGATACTTTTGTTCGTGTTGCTCAGGAAGTATGGTCTGAACTGCAACTGGATCCTAGTAGTTTGATGCTTTGCCAAGGTATGATGAGTTTTGATTTCAGCTTTTATTTTTACTCAAGTTTTGTTTCGCTATTGTATAAAAATCGTGGTGATACGTTGCATCATTCCTTTTGAAATTCTGTTCATAACCTTCAAGGTAAGTGGGGTGTTTTTTTGTAAAAGTGAACGCAGAACTTGAAGCTGACTAGAAAGAGCATAAACTTGTAGTGCATTAGGCCGAGTCAAATTTGTTATGGTGCTGATTATACCACCCAACAACCCAAACCTAGTTACGGCAGGTTTTCGATTTTGATCCACTAATTGAGTGTAGTTTTAGAACCGATGGACCCACTAGCTGTAAAACGTTAGTAAATAAGTAGTTCACACTAACTTCAGAGTTATAACAGAATAGAAAGAACGTGGATCCATACTGATCTGCACATTTCGTTTGAATAAAACTTCATAGTGCCCTACTGTTTTATTGATCAGACGTTTGAACCGAAGGCCTAGGGGTGTACCCTCAAAAAATCATGCGTACCAATTTTTAGCGATAATATGCGATGTATACAGGTCTAATTTGCCGAGTTGGTGGTCATTATGTGGTCATGGCATTTGCTGAACACCATCCCAACAGCTCTGACTGTAAAATGTCGGGTATCCGACATTTCTGTTTAAGAAATCCTTATCTCTGATTACTTTGATGTCAGCAGTTTTCACATATGCCATAGAACTGGTTGGATGAAAAAGAAGCATGGTTAGTTGGCGAAATGATGCCGCTAATAGAAGAATATTTTCAGTAAGTTAACCGTTTTTGGTGAATTCCAGCTCTCAGTGTGGGGTTCACTAGTCATCATCATCATTATCAACATAGGACCAGGCATTACTGCGTAACGGTCCGAGTTGCCACACCTCATATCAGCACATCAAGTAAAAAGGTAGTGAGGTGAAGGATGAAGATAAGTGAATGCAGTCAAAAGAAATATAAAGTACGAAAAGAAAAGAAAGAGGAGTGACACTAGTGCCACAACTCAGTGGTTTGAGATGTTATCATGCATGACACAAAATCAAAGGGAACTGTACGTGAGATGACACAAGACATTCTCGGTCGCCTGGATGGAAGGAGGTGGATTGAATGTATTACTCAAAAGTTGCATGTTACATATCCAAAACTACACAACAACTTCATGAGTTTTTTTTAAAATGGGAAATAAATTCTACCACTGTAATGCTATTATTTGGATTGTTCTCTCTACTATTGTCGTTTTTCTTGCAACCATTAACGCTTGGCGTTGCTTCTTCCATATCCTCACCACACCATTTTATTTTGCTTAGCGCATTTCAGAGCACCTTATTGTACTATGTAGATAAAAAATGCATTGTTTTGTAGTCTTATCACGAAAAACGTGACTCAAGCGCTCGATTTTCAAGCAATGACTGAAGTCCCACTTCAACTTCTTCGATCTAGTCACCTAGTTATCATATACACATTAATTGCATTTTCATAGCCTAGTACATTTGTATATATTGGGTTGAACTGTATTATCTATTAATTACCCTACGAAACCTAGTTGTATGTTAATAGATCATAAGTTCCGGTATTATAACTATCAGGAGATTCATTATGAATTTTATTTTATTTTTACGTATTCCGTCCTTTTTAAAAAATTCAGTAGATCTTTACTTCTAGAAATATATCTTTAACTGTTTTGAGACATCAGATAGTTGCTTTCTTAGATTTATCATTTTTTATGATACCTAGTTGAGCTATTTAAAAGTTGCTCCCACCGTTTAAGCATCCTACCATGATTCATACCTTAATGGAAGTCATCAGCACAGAATCAGGGTGCCGAAATGAAAGCCTCACTATTAGTCCTCGTCTACTGAAGGCACAACCCCAGTTTTCCAGTTTAATGTTGTGAATAGGATTTAGACTCATTTATTCAAAAAGTACGTTTCACATATACTCATTGAAATATGAAAAAGCATACATTTACAAAGTAAGATGTAAAATGTTCCTAGTTCTGCTATCGTCTATCGAATAGTACGGATATGTGACCAAAGGTGGTATTGAGATGTTCATAAAAGGTGTCCACACGCTTACAGGAATTGATCATCCTTATTATGAAGTCAACAGTGAGGAATTTCAAGCTTCAAGACCATTAATATTGGTTTAGTTAAGAATTGTTTATTGTTTTGACCTACTGTTATTTCTCCAGCAGCTAGTCAGCGGGAAATGTCCACAGAATTCCCCGGACGCTAAGTAAATCAAAGTGTCCTGTATTTGAATAATACCCTCCGTGGAGAATACAGTATTTTAATATCGACTACTCTACTCCAGGTATAGGTCAGTGACGCAAACTTTATGGGCGTCGCTTTAGGATTCTGACACAACTAATAAATAAAGTATCTAAGCATATGGGGAAAGTAGAAATAAGGATGCAAATGAAGTCCATACGTTTTTTGTCTCCAACAGCGTTCGACTCATTGTATATACCAAAGTAAACACTTCAAGCTTCTTAGACCGAAAACTCCTGAATGATTAGTTGGTTAGTTGATAACCAAAACCTCTCCTCATACTCAAATAAAGGCGTGATACTGCAGTGTTCTGTCTTGCTGAAACAAGCATCTACTTGAAATTAGACTATGCTGAAGTCTAAAGATAAGTTATATCTACATCCTAAATCAGGGTACTTTGCTCCTAGCAGCATAGTTTAACCGTGATATGCAATCTTTTAGGTAAATGTTTAGTGACTAAAACAGATCACTGGGTATAAAAGTCAAAGGGCGAAATTTATGATTACTTTGATATCATCATGAACTATAATTTATTCTCGAAACGTGACTAAGCATATGATACTGTGTCACTGTGTGCTATATCTAATAAACAATTCTGAAAGTGAAACTATAATTATTACCTTATCGCACTCCACTAACAATGCTGGGCTTCTTACGGGTTAACTGTCAAAATATAACGGCGTCATACTAGTTTTGGCTAAATGATTTGTATCCTGATATTTTATTACTGTCTGTTATGTATTTGTGTTGTTTTATTTTACTAGGGACATTAAGACCTGATCTGATTGAGTCCGCATCTCATTTGGTTAGTCAACGAGCAGATACAATTAAAACTCATCATAACACAACTATGCTGGTTCAGCTTCTACAAAAGCAAGTGAGTAAACTTTGCGTTTCCATATCATGATAATCTTTCGTCTTGCAGTTGTTTACCCTCTCGGTGCTTAGTTCCGAAGTTAATACATAAGTGAAAGACTTTTGAGGATGTCAAAGGTTTGATGTTTTCCTAACCAGGAAACTTCGCTTGTCGGAGAACCTCCAATTGAGAATAACCTTTCATAGCAAAATAATGAAGATAATTAAACATCAAATCACCATCCTGAGTTATAAACCTTCCCTATCATTAGTATAATTGTTTTTATATGATACCGTCGTTGATTGGACCGAATTGATCGGTCTCTATTGGCATATGGGCTCCTGTGCGGATGCCTCAATATTGCCCGCTAGCCACGATCCATCTTCCCTATCATTGTTTAGAATCATTTCCCTATGAAGATCCATGTTACATTTGGAATCTCTGTTAGGCGAAATTGGGATAAACAAAGCTTGATTACAACACACTGAGAATCGACACTTAAGAATTCCTGTTCTCATTGGTAAAGTTAAATAAACTTCCTGCCAAACTCAAGGGAAGTGCTCGTATTTTGAGGCCTTATTTAGTAGTTTTACTGCTTCTCCCTAGTAGATAGAAATCCTGTCTCATATTTTGTAATAAGGATTTATCAACTGCCTAGCAACCTTTAGTTTATCCTCGACTAACCGTTTCGATTAAATCATCTGAAGCCAAACAGCAGGCTTGAGTGAGTTTGTATGAAAGATACTTAAGGATCGAGGCCCAGGATTCTTGGTTAGATTGTCTGAGTTGTTACGAAGTGCATGACAATGACATGTTGCTTCTAATTGGTGTCAGTCACTAATTGTCCCAGTCTTCGTTTGCGATAACCACAAGGGAATCTGTTTGACAAGCATAGTTTCCGAAATTATCGCTCCTATATTCATCAGACGCTTAAAAGAGCTTTGGAACAGCAAGTTTGAGAAAACCAACCAGTTTTCAAATATGACAATGTGTATATCGACCGGATTTTCACTTATCATCGTATCTTTGAAAACTTATACACTTACCAGCACCTAACACTACCTTTATTTCTTGTCCTAAAGGTGGCATGTGACTCTGTGTTTCAGCGTCTACTGCAACATACGACATTATATGAATTGGGGCTAGGTTTGGATAGTGTGGAGCAGCGGATCACTGGTATGGAGAGCTAACTTTTAACCAGTAGGTCAGGGTTGGAATCACACTTAACCTACGAAGGTTTAGGCAGCCAATTAGTATAGCTAACCACCATAACACATGTGGTGAATTGCCTAGTGCACGAACCTGCACTTTACTACTGAGTTGAATTTTTGTCAATACTCGGGAAAGGCGAAAATATCTCTTTGCTACGGTTTTATTTTCAAAGGCTGTACAATCGTACTTATATGTAAGTTGAAACAGAAATGACCAATTTATACTGGTTAATCATTGAAAAGTGAAATGAAAATCCGCTGAACTACAGCTATTCCAGATAGTCAAAGTGATAATCAATAACAAATAGTTTTGTGACACATTTACAGTGTTGATATATATATTTATGGACAGTTGGGAAGATATGGCTTTACGAACATATAATCCGACACCTAAGATATGGTGGCGATATATGGATGACACATTTACAGTGTTGAAATCGGAACATATCGACAGTTTCTTGACACACATAAACTCAGTAGTTAACGCAATCCAGTTCACTTACGAAGTAGAAAATGAACATGAGAATTACCTTTGTTGGATTGCAGAATAAAACGAAGGACAGATGGTGGTTTAGATACTACCGTCTACAGAAAACCAACACATTCTAACAGGTATCTAGACTTCAAGTCATCTCATCTAGTGTCAGTTAAAGTGGGTTTGGTCAAATGTCTAAATAACAGAGCTAAGAAACTCACTAGTCATTGTAAGGACTTAAATAAGGAATTGAAACACATAAAAGAAGCGTTAGTAATTAATAATTATCCCCATCATTTTATTAAGAAATTCACACAAACACATAAGAAGCAAATTAATAACACTAATACAAATACAAATATTAGCGACAACATAAGTAGAAAGGAGATTAACACCTCTATTGTGATACCATACAAAGAAGGAACATCAGAAACCACACGTAGGATTCTCAACAAGATTGGAATTAGGGTGGCATTTAAACCAACAAACTCACTTAGAGGTAAGCTTTGTCGGCCGGCATGAGGATCCGATAGAACCAATTAGGCAAAATATAATCTACTAAATTCCATGCAATGACTGTGAAGTCAAATACATAGGTCAAACTAGCCGGTCAGGGTCAGTTAGATTAGCAGAACATAGGAATTTAGCTAAACATAGAACGGCAGACCCCAATAAGATCAATAATCTAGAAAAACACTCGGCCACTGCATTACATTCATTAACACACAACCACACAATAGGGTGGGACAAAACCACTGTACTTAAGTCTAATATAGCTAGGTGGAGAGAGAGATTAATTACTGAATCTTTGTTCATCGAATCCACACCCAACACATGTGGAATAGGAATGACGCAACACCTATACCAGAGATATGGAAAACTTTTCTACCAACCAAAAAACAAAAACAACGAAAAATCAGGTGACAAGACTATAAAATCAGATATCGAAAGAAGTATGATAACATTGATATAATTGTGAGCAATAATTTATGCTCGAAACGTAATCAAGTAAATAATACTGTATCACTGTGCGCTATATATCAAATAAACAAATCTAATATGGAATTAGTTTTGTGCTTGTTTCATTTCTACAATAAGTGGGATATGAATGTGAATAATATTTCATAGATCATCAAATAGGTTGGGAAAATATTAGGAGACTAGACGTCATATGTACAATGAAGGAGGCAAATGAGTTGAAGAAAGTATTGTAGCTTCATATAAAAGTAGTTGAGTGAAGCTCATGTGAAACAGCAAAAGTGAATATCAGTCAGACATAGTGTGATCTGATAGAAATCAAGAGAAGTGAAAAGGTCATGATAAAACAAAATGTATTGACATAGAATAAACATGACCTTTTCACTCCTTTCGATCTCTATCAAATCACACTTTGACTGATATTCACTTTTGCTGTTTTACATGAGCTTCACTCAACCACTTTTAAATGAGGCTACAATATATTCTTCAACTCATTTGTCTCCTTCATTGTACATATGACCCTAGTCTCCTATATCTTTTCAATCCGTTTTCAATCCATGAAATATCCTCACTCATTAATGCACCGAACAGTTCCACTTATCGTTGCAACGAGAAATTTTCTTCACTGAAATCTTTATTTTATGCCATAATGGGGATTATAAATGTGATTTAGAGAAAGGTTACAGGAGGCTGGACTAAAATGTGACATTATTACATGATATCTCCTATTTTCGATCGAAGCCGTGCAGAGAAATATTGACATGCATGTGACAACCGAAATTGGTTGTTTAAATCTCCAGGGGATATGGCTGAAAATCAACCCCGGTGAAGAAGATGCACGCCTGCCTTATTTTCATCTAAACCGTTATATCACATTCCGTTATTTACTTTGCTCCCTCTTTTCTAGGATCTCCGATTACATTACTGCTATTTCTTTATCATTAGTCTTCCGCCTTATATCTTGATATGATCTGTATGGTAACCTAGACCAGTGCCGAATAAGTGCGAGGTTTCATATTATTGAATGACTAGCTGTTTCTACTACCGATACCTTCTCTGTCCACAGAATATTCCTGAGGTTTTTAGAAAGGATTCATTCTTTCTCACCATCGGTTACTGTTTATTCTCTTGTAGGGTCGGGTTGTTGAACCGTTATCTGACTTTCACAAAGATGAAGTTAGACAAATCGGTAAACAGTTAGGACTTCCAGAAAGTATTGTCAACCGTCATCCTTTTCCTGGTCCAGGTTTAGCAGTTAGGATTTTATGTGCTGCAGAACCATACATCGAACGTGATTTTTCGGAGACAACAAGCTTAATAAAAATGATTGCAGGATATCATCAAATGTCGCAAAAGGTTAGTTCCAATACCTTATTTATAATAATTGCATTACTGTCTTAATGATAATCCTTCAGTATACACAGTTTTATTCTTACTTCTGTGCAGTAGAATATCTTTTATGAGCTAATTATAATCGCAGAAATATCTGAAACTATGAAGTTACTTTTTTCTTACGTAGCATGCTTTCAAAATTTCATTTCAGGATCTAAGATAGTAGTTGTCATTGGCTGCTTGGGTGAGGAAAGTAGAAGGTAGTGTAAATGGAGTCGTTCGATAGAAATAAAGAAAATCTAAGAGGCAAGTATACAGATTGTTGATAAACGATCGCTCAGGTGGATTGATACTTTCTATATGGTCATATCAGCGCTGGCTGCTTTTTGATATGACCGGGAAGAAAATCAATAAGTTTTGTTGATTTGGGGGGTATGATACTAGTCATGTATAACCTTCTCGAAAATGTTGAGTTTCGGATCTGCTGAGTTATCTTCATATAACGCGTGCCAGCAAAGCTCTACCAGACATCGAAGATATGCTTCTTAAGGTTGATTTTCTGTTCCGTTTTCCCCGAAAGAGGGAAGCCAACATCGTTGGCGGCACAGATCATTCCAAAAGAAACAACTTCAAGACGTACACAATAACACAAAAATGTAATCCAGAAACTACCTTTTGTGTGACTTAATGATACTATCTGACTACTGACACCTCTTAGACTGAGTGGCTTTCGAATCCATAAACTACTTGTTGAAAATCAAGTGTTCAGATGAATAAACCACAACTCCATTCATACTGTTCCGATCCACTGTCTATTGTATGACATCATAAACTCTTTCATACTCTTTATTTCCTTTATTGTCAGCCTCATGCTCTTCTGAACAAGATAAATGCTGCTGCCAGACCAGAGGAACAACAACGCTTGTCGAAAATTACGGCCAATAGATCTCTAGCCGCTTATGTCCTACCCATTCGTACAGTTGGAGTACAGGTATATTTATTTATGCTGTTTGACCTATATGTGTGTCTTGTTGGTCTGTTTCGTCCTGTAACGTTTTAGAAGTGTTCAGTAAACAGTATAAGTTCGTCGTAAGTTGTGTTCCTTGTTCCTACGAGACAAATCTTAAGTAAACAGAAGGAAAGAAAAGAGAATCAGACTGATTCAGAAGAAATGATTAGCAGCAAAATATTACGGAGTTTTGGTTGAGGATCAAATGGACTTCACGATCAAGTAGTAGTATATAGTTGCAGAGTATTCTCAGGAATCCCTCTAGTAGGTTGTCGCTCCAGAAGTTCATTCTAGCAGTAAGACAATAATATGGATTTAAGTTATTTTTCAATATGATCTCTTAGGAAAACATCAGTGCTTTAAGCTTATGAGAGATGACAGTGATAAGTTAATCACAAAGGTTGATATGGAATCCCATAAATTTGAATTATTCAGTCGTCATTATTATTTACTGACAACATTTAGAGCAGAACTTATTACCTATAATCATATCAAGCTAATCAGATAACTTTCTGGTATGATTTTATAGTTCCAATGTTATTCATTCTTTGATTCAGTTGGTAGTAAAATTTTCCACATATCCAGAAATTGGTGTTGCATCGTTTCTATTACATGTGCCAGATATCGATCCTATAAACAAGCTTCAGTTATTAATATTTCTCGCCATCTACCTAAGTAACTTTTTAAAATGTTCACTCTATCTCATCCTATTGCATAATTTTGTGTGACACCATGCATAGCTATGACTGAGCTCTTTTCTAGATTTATTGTTCTATTAGGGTCTACCATTCTGTGTATGACTAGGTTTTTATGTTCCGCTAATCTAATTGACCCAGATCGGCTGGTTTGACTTATTTATTTGACTTCACTCATTTCATGCAATTTGAATGACTAAATTGTTTTGAGTAGTAGGTTCGATGGAATACTTCAACCGACAAAGTCAGTTTCTAAGTGAGTTTGCGAGTTTAAACGCCTCTTTAATCCTAGCATTATTGAAAATCCTACTAGGGCTTCGGTTACCCGGCCGACAGCTTGTACCTTGACTTGGTGGTCGGGCTTGTATTATCACAATGACCCAACAAACCACGCTGGCTGGGATGCTTGACCGCTCGAGGTTCTATCGTGCCAGAAAGGTCTGTTGGATAGTGGTAAGAAAAAAGCAGTTACCATCATAGTGTAAATTGGCGTTCCGAGGGCGAAATCGTATTGTTGTCTGAACGGAGTGTGACAACAGTAAGTTGTTTCCGACAGGTACCCAACATTACCATGCTGATACTGTTTTCCCTATGGAAAAAAGTGTTTGGTAAAGGTCGATCTCAGCAATTGCAGACTCTTTGTCCTGGAGCTTTCCGTTACTCATGATATAGGTTTTTCTTATCCGGCGTTAGCACAATCAACCATCAATCTAATGGATCTTGAAAAGGGTGTGTGAACTTTGCGGTTGCGTAAAACTAATCCTTTTTCTCTTTTGGTTACCTTATAGAAACAACTTCCGCGGTATGGGAAACCGGGAAGTACCGATTGTCCATACCCTTCGAGCAACGTACAAAACCCAACTAACTATAACCCATCCTTCTTACATCTGTTTCCTCTTTTGCCTTCCCGATACTAACATGAAACTTCTTACAACTTAAACTTCTCACCGTGACCACTACTAAATGGAGAAGGCTTTTTGTGGACACTCGTATCCAAACCACTGTCTTGCTTTCGTTGAATTTTGCAATGTGACATAGCTAGTTCTGCTTCATTACTTTCGAGTGCATACGTGTAGTAAAAATGACAATTCGAAATCCAGATTTACGGAAGATTTTACTACCAATTTAAACAAGGAACCTCAGTTGTTAAATTTTAAGGATACATTGGTTTGAAGGTAGTTTTCATCGATAACACTGAAAACCTTAAACCCCTGAATTGCTGATATCTCATCTATATGCATCCACGATGCCATGAAAAATCGATTCCGGGACCGTCAGGTTTCAATAGTGAACCCTTTACCATTCGGTTACTCGGTATTAGTCCAGTAGTCCATTGACTCTTACTGCTGTCAGCTGGCGATTAAATTTTACTCTGAGTAACCTAGTGTGTTTGAATGCCACCCCAATTTCCACTTTGCTAAGGATTTTTAATTGAGTTTTGTCTATCCCTCATTTGTGGGATAGCACTATATAGGTTTTGAATTATAATTTGTGTTGCAATTATTATCTACATTACTATTAGTTCTTATCACTTTTGAACTGATCCGGGTCATTCAGGTTAACAGAGCATAGAAGCTTAACTAAACGTAAAATTATGGTTTACAAAACATTGCGGTTGCGATACCATACATTGACTTGCAGTTGCACAACGTAGTGGGACCGAGCAGATATCTTGAAGATCGGTTTAGTTAGATAAGAAAGGAAGTTGATCGCCGTATCTTTGTTCATCGAGTTAACATCTACTACATGCAGTAAAAATGACAGGTATTTGGTAAATTTTATTACCATTAAAACCAGCGCATTGAAGTTTCTGATTTCTATGAATCAAGTGTTGTTATAAGAATATACTTCAATATAATTCCAGCGTGTTTAAAAAATCAAAACGAGATATTTCTGAACGGTTAACTGTGTAAGCCACAGTTTCTTCAGCCGAGTATATGGTGTTAGTTATATGATTGCCTTGGTATGATTATGAGCAATACATTGTGCTCGGTATATCACCTAGTAAATAATACTGTTTCAAAGTCTTGCGTTTGTCTGGTAAAAACTGAACGCTAGCAAAATTTAATGCACTGTTTGTGCTGCACACATAAATGCATAGATGAATTTGTGTCACAAAATATCATTGATAGAGAGCATATATCATAGTCTGTAATTTGCTCTTACCACCTTCTCTTGACTATGTTCGAATACTGGTAACTTTTTTCTCGGAAGATTTGTAACACTACGCTTTTATCTTTATACAGGGTGATCATCGTTCATATAGCTACGCTTGTGCATTATCTAGTTCAGCTGCACCAGATTGGGATGCTCTGTCTTTCCTAGCTAATTTGATACCCAGAATTTGTCATAATATCAATCGGTAAGTCCAGTTTGGTCTTATCTTTTCTCTGTTGTGTCGAATTATTTTATGACTACATTCTTTCAAGTGTGAAGAGCATATTGACATTCTCTGTAAAGCATTATTTATCAAAATCATTTTTATTCCTGAAGACATTTGCAGCATGCACTTAGAATTCCCATCTTCGAACCATTTTTCAAAGGATTTGGCTATCAAGCTTGAAGGTTACGGGTTCTGACATAACTGACACTGACAAAATCAACGTGGAATCTTGCACACAAGTGCATCAGCTCAAGTTGTCACACTTCACAGAAGTACACAATTAACAGGTGGATAGAAAAAGTGATAGCAAAGTTGATAAAGTAGTGTAAGAGAATAAACAATCTGAGTGCGAATATTAGATGTCAGTGAGTGAATACATCTACGCCGCAGACCAGTTTTCAGCCATTTCACTGATAGTCCTCAACCACTGATTCTTTTCATCTGTCTATATCTCCCACACGGCTCAGGCTAACAATAAGAGACTTCATGAATTGGTGCAATATCTTGATTTGGCCACCCTGAAACCCTCTTCTCATATGTTTGTAAAAGATTGCCAGTTTGCATTCTTTCACAGTCGCCAATCATCAAATCACCTCTGATGAATTATTTTCTATTCCTATAGGCATTATGGGCTTATAGAGAGTTGTCTTGTAAACTGACAACAGGTATACCCACTGTCACCATTCCTATTTAACTTCCTTATCTGCGTACTGATGGACAACTTTAGGTACAGCTGGCTTCCCAGGGATTGACCTACTCCTGGGAGGTCATCTTGTTGACTTGGAGTATGGGAATGATATTATTCTCCTAGGTGAAGACGCTGACAAAATGCATGTACTTCTGAAGGCATTGAACGGAAATCTATTTTTGGGATACGATCCGCTAGCACCTGCTAAATGTAGGATAATGCTCCAGGACTGGTCTGCTGCAAGTACTCCCAAATTATTGATAACGTCTGAAGTAGTGGGATGTGTGGACCACAGCACTTACTTGGGAAGTTGCATCCTCCCGAATGGACTGGTTGCTGATGAAATCTCAGCTTTAATGCAGAAGGCCCGTTCGACATCTTCCAGTTTGCATCATGTATGGCGCCAACTGGCGAGATATTTGACTATCTGTCGATGGACAAGTATACTGTGCTGCAGTCCATCCTGTCCTTTTGTACAGCTATTTGACATTGCCGGTAAAAGTAGAAGACATGAGGCGGTTAAAGGCGTTTGATCACAGGTGTCTTCGTAGGACTACTCACATTTGGTTGAATTACAGTGTAAGGCGAGACAGGCAAGTCGATTGGTGAGGTTGTGAACCTTAGTCGAGTGGGATGGCTTGGACATTAACTGCACATGCCGAGTCACCGTCTACCTCGACTTGCTTTGCTTAGGGAAATTGGATTATATTGGAAGAGGGTTCAGGGTGGCCAGATCAAGTTGTACCAGTCCATGAAGCTCCAGGCTGTTAGTCTTATCCGTGTTGGAAGATGTAGACTACTTGGCTGGTTTTCCCGAGCTGAAATGAATCAGTGGTTGAGGACTCTTGGTGACATGGCTGTAAATCAGTCTCAGTGGCGTATTTGATTCACTCTTTCACATCTCTTCTAAAGACTTGAGTACTCCCGGTAACCTTTACTTTTTAAATTGTTTATTCTGTCACACAACTTTGTCCACTTTGATACCACTTTCATTCCATCCATCTGTTTTTGTATACTACTATGAAGTGTGACAACTTTAACCGATGCATTGGTGTGCGAGGTTCTACGTTATTTCTGTCTGTCTGCATTATATCTTATTGCGAAGGGAATAAAGTTTTTTAGATGTACTGCTTGATGGTGATATCGTTCAGCATTCAGTCAGAGAAATCCTTAGTTTCTTGAACGTAAAAGAAACAGGTGCCGTGTATTATTGAAACTCCTACTAATACATTCCTTTTCTATGAAAGTCATACTACTTTCTTACCGTTTGACCTTTAAAGTTTTTAATTTTGATGATTACTTTCAAATAATCGGAGTGCTTTTGTAGGCGTATTGAGCACTAACCCTTATTCCATATCCTTATGGATTCAGTATAGAAGAAGTAGAAGTAACGAATTTTCAATGTCAACATTTTGGAAAAGAAATCAAGCTTTTGCATTGTGACCTTGTATAGTCTTCACACTGCATACCAAAATATATTGAGTTAACCGTAGACTAAAATCGTTGCCTCTTCAAGTTCCTAGTCACTGCTTTTAAGTAAAGTACATCGTATCGAAGAGTGCTGCTTCAAGTAGTTCGTTTTACCGTTGGTTTCGAATTTAGCAACAAAAATTCCTAGTGTTTCTGTGTTTTACCTTGTATGCATTCAACAGAGAGGAAAATACATTTTAACTCCTAGAAAGACTGTTATATATTATATATGGTGTGTAAACCAAATGAGTGTTGTCTACCACCTTGGTATAGTGATTGTTTTGTAATTATTTACTATCGGTTGCTCATGTTGAAATGTGAAGTAATGAATACTTTTAAATACGTGACAATTTTTGGTAACAGTGCGTATGTATGTTACATCACAAAAATTCCAAGTTGTCATGGCATTACATTTTCCCCTGACTAATGAGAATGATTTTTGCAAGCTTTCTAGATCACTTGCTAGAAGGTAAGCTTTTATCTATCCCACTTAGACATTTTGAGCTAACTGAGGATTTAGGTGAGCATATATCACCACCAAATAAAACTGCTTGATCTTCAACATTGTTCGTTGACATTCTTATTCTCTAAGTGAGATTTCAGCCCATGTTTGGAGTTTTAGTATGAAGGCCATTAAGCTACGGTTGTGTTCAATAAGTAGTTAATATGTTCCTAACCTATGCCAATTAATACATTTATTTTATCTTGTGACTTTTTCATTTAATAAAATCTCATTTCAGAGTGGTTTATATATTGGGACCACAAGTTCTTCATCCGGTGAATGATGTTACAGTCACTTATCTTCGAGAACCTGTTATTGATACTCTTCGTGAGGTGGATGACAGAGTTATGTCAGTACTTCAAAACACTGGTTGCATGAATAAAATTGATCAAATGCCTATTGTTCTTATACCGATTCATTTTGATCGTGATCCGAGTCAAGTAGTGTCTATTCCTTCTATTTTACGATCAATTGTACTCAGACCGGTGAAATCAGCAGATTTTATGACATGTGTAGCAGCTGTTCCCGGAGTTCATATTCCCGAAGAAGTATGTTATATTATTTCATAGTTTATCCACTATGTTATGTATCTGTAAGATGGTTTTGGTATTAATGTATACTAGTTTTCAAGATATCCAAACCCGTGTACTTTAGCGTCTTTCACATGGTACATCTTATAATTCACTCAAAAACCCTAGTTTTTACACATACTAATCCTCTATCTGATATTTCGGTATGTATATAAACTTGGCTTAGTGTACATACTAAACTAAGTTAAATTATTAAGCCAGAATTATATTAAATAAAGGCTTCTAGTGGAAACATTGACCTAAGGCTTCCAAATTTTGTGGGAATAGAGAGGACTGTCCCGAACTCTGAACAAAGAAGAGTAACTGGCCTCTAAGGACTTTGGGTGGATGATGAATTACTGTTAGGCAAAGACATTGGCAAATTCACAGTGACTATTTTAGAGTATCTGACTTTACGAGTGATTTATGTTGATACCTTTTTTGACAATAGAGAGTGAAGTGTTTGGGTGTATTGACCACTTCACTTACCTGGTTTCTAACTGTGATAAGATCTTTCAACCTATTTAGCTTGTTTCTTAATAAATTTGTAGGTCTAAATCTCACTTTACTTCCATTTTTATTGAGAATCTTATGTAATGTTTTTGAGGAATCTTCTGTGTACACCACGTCATCCTATTCCTACTGTTGTCAATCGCCAGCGAAGAAAATTTGTGCGATGATTTCACTGCTTTAAAATAAATTCTCACATGAATTTCTCTATGATGGGTTACTTGACTTCTAATGGTTTGTGCTTATTTTCAATTGCCTGAAAACGAGGAAGAATGCTGGGAATTATGTATAGGTGGTTTGTTTACTTCTGGAAGGGAAGTGAAAAAGTAGTGTAATGTACTTAATGACTTCATTACGGAATGACATCAGTTAAGGAACCATTGAAAAACTGGTTGCACTGAACAGCTTACAATATAGCGTGGCCTCCATCCAATGTCTCATCGAGTAGCTGTTTTCTTGTCCAACTTGTTTGGCCCCACCGGTAACGACTTTTCATTCGAACTTCAGGAATCATCTCTCAAAGCTAGTCACCGATGAGCACTAGATTAATTCAATTTGGAGATTTGCAGGGAATAATTTATGATTTCAGGACGAAATAGCTGTCCAGTACTCCCAAGTTTCCAATGTCTGTCCAACTAATGTCAGTGCATGATAAATACCAACCTGAAATCAATAGATAAATCTCTACAAGCCTCTAAATTGAAGTAATGTATTTACGTTTTCTACCTTTTTTCCTCATTTGAATTAATTATTTGGAGCCCAAACTCAGTGTTCAGCGCACGGCGAGAGCTGCGGAAATAGATCCGATTGAAAACAGTCTTGAAGTAATTCTTTCATCACCATGATTATTTCAACAATAGCCACTTTATGCAAACCTTTTATTGGATATCAACTTTGGAATTGCCTATCATGGATTGAAGAACTGTAGAAAAAGTAAAGGGCTGATAAAAAGCAGTGTCATGTTTCGAGGAACTATGTACACTAACGTTTAGAGTTTTTTAAAATTGCATTTCAGGAAACTCATGTAAACGTGAAAAATTGATTCCATTTAATCCACCGCTCACCGAATATTTCACTGTGAACACTCAATACAGCTGTACTTTGTGTGTAGAAGGAGAAGTTGTGAAACACGGAATGATGAGAGAATCCAACTACTGGAATTTATGTGGTTATCTAAAAGCTTGCACCTCTGCTTTCGCAATCGCTAGAACAAGTTTATTTAGTCATGCTAACCTAATTTTCTGTTGAAATATTTCTGAATATCGATGCTATTACGACACTGTCATGTGTGCCACCACTACTCACCACAAATTCTAGTAAACTGAATCTTATGTATTGATTGGTCACGGGAGTGCAACCAATTTCATGTTGTCTAGTCCTGAGTGCAGACCGAATCCCATTGATCATATTTGCAATGTGGCAACCAAACTAGGAAGCTGAGCATCGCGGTGCACATAAGTAGATGTTAGTTGGTTGGAGGCAATCGTCAGGAAGCCTTGGACCTAGGTTTCATGTTTTTTGACACTCGTCAGCAAGGCGTATCTGCAACCTCGATCGCGCCCCGAATAGCTCATTGGTAAAGTCGCTGACTACAACACTGGGTGACGCGGGTTCGAATCTATCGAGGTTGCAGTTACACCTTTCTGACGAGTGCCGAAAAGCACGAAACGTAGGTCCAGGGCTTCCTGCCGATTGCCTCCAACCAACTGACATGAATCTTATGTATTACAATTCTGAATGCTTTTGATTTGTAATTTGTAGATACATCTTTAATCTGGTTTGTGGATACTTTTGTTGTGTGAAGGTGATGGTTTCTTTTTTCTTGGGTAAATTTCAATGTGAAATGAACTATACTAATAAGCATTAATGTCATACCCCATAGCTGAATGACCGAAATTGAATTGACTTGTCACTGTCAGGATGTGACCCCCTGTAAAAGTGCATTATGTTATTGAACAGTGCATTTTCTAATTCACTTTATTCCTTATTTAACAAACCTTCCGTATTCCTTCTTAATTTCAAACTACATGAAGTTTATTGGTGTACCGGCGATACATTTAGCTTGTATAATCTGACTACTTATAGTAGCATCAATAGTTTGAAAACATTTACTGTGTTTAACAGTTCAGAAAATTCACCATATGCAATGTAACTGTCTATTCCTAAGCACTCATCACTGACCGCCAGGTTCTGAAACACAGGCACGCCTACTGGCGCCTTAAAATAGCTGTATTTCTTGACTTGAAAGCGGCATTCGACTCTTTCGATCAAGAAGTCTCATGGTAATGTCTGTCACTGAAGGGGATACCGAGTAAATGCATCGTCTTATCGAAGGCTCTCTACTCAAACACCTATGGGTGTGTTACAGCCCATGGTGAGATGTCGGGTGAGGTGTGTACATCGAGTCGTATCTATCAATAATGCCCACTCTCTCCATTTTCATTCAATTTTACCATGAACGTTCTTATAGAGGTCTCCGTCTCATCATCTGACTACACAGGAATTGACCTAATCGCAAGAGAATTTTCGTAGACATAGAACACTCATCTGACATATGTTCCTGTTAGATGAAAACGCGGACAAGATTCAGAGTCTTCTGGACACCTTGGGTTGCAATTTGAGATTGTTTGGGATGCGTTTCTCACCACCCAAATAAGAAATATTGCTTCAGGACTGGTCTTTAACGGTGCCTTGACTAACACAGTGGAGAGTGAAGTGGTTTGGTGCGTTGAACGCTTTACTTGCCTGAGAAGTCGGATCAGCCCTAGTGGCTCAGTAGCCGACGAAATCCCTGCACGCATACAAAAGGCTCAAATGGCTATTGCCAACTTACGTCATCTGTGGCGCCACCGCGACATCCGATTGTCTCTTAAGGGTTGAGTGTACTGTGCTGCAGTCCGCTCTGTTCTACTGTATGACTATTGAACATGGCCACTAAAGATAGAAGGCATAAGAAGGCTTGAGGTGTTTGATCACCGTTGTTTTCGAAGCATAGGCAGTATTTCATAGTATCACTACATGAGTAACGTAGAAGTCAGGCTTAGTTTTAGGGAGGAGAGGTAAGTCAGTTGGTTTGATTGTGAAGCCTCATTGATTAAGATGGTTGAGGCATGTGTTACGTATGCCTAGTATCCGTCCGCCTCGTCACGCAATATTGAACCATATAGGTCCAGATTGGAAAAAGGCTTGGGGCAACCAAACTGAAACATGACACCAATGTATGAAGTCGTTGACTGTTGGTTTGAGCCATGTGGGGCGATGCAGACTAGCCAGTTGGGGTCCACGGGATAAGAGAAACCAGTGGTTGGAGACTCTAGGTGAATAACTTAGATTCGAAGTCAGTGGTGCAGATGTATTCATTCATTATCTTCATCTTAACCGTTATACTTAATCTCACCATTTTCTCATTCTGCCTTGCTTTTTTTTGACGTGTTTTCCTTTCTTTTTCATCTTCCATTTATTGCCTTTTCACTTGACGTGGTGATATGAAATGTTGCAACTCGGACCGTTACACAGTAATGCCTGGTCCTATGTTGATGATATTGATCGACCAAGTCTGCCATATGTCTACATCACCTGAGCAGTTTAGCGCTAAAGTCTCTGAATTCGCCACTGAGCAACACAGATTCGAATTACTGAGGAGACTTCATTTACTTCATGATTACTGATGAGTCCCAACAGGTGCGAAACCTGCTGACTGCCCATCAGTATCTAACACCATAACTCAGTATGAAATCAAGAAATCACTACTGAATGAATTTTGGCTGAATATGTCGTTCGTGCTGCTGTAGTCAGTTGTAGGTATGAGCATATGATCGTATAGGATGCTAAATAAGGTGTGCATTACTATTATTATTATTATTATTAGTCCCTTGGGTTCCTAGTGGAACATAGGGCTTCAGTAGCACGCCTCCAGTGACCTCTGTTCTCTGAGATCTTTTGAACCTGGTCCCACGACAGCCCACAACCTCTCATTTCCTCCTCGCACGACCTCCTCCATGTCACCCTTGGACGTCCAACTCGTCGCTTCCCATGGGGATTCCACTCGAGGGCCTGACGCGTGATGTCCTCAGTCGGCCTTCTCAGTGCATGGCCAATCCATCTCCACTTCTTCCTGCATATTTGTTGCGTGATAGGTTCTTGGTTGGTTCGTTCCCAGAGTTCCTTGTTGCTTATTTTTTCTGGCCATCTGATCTTCAGCAGCGAGCGTAAGCAGTTGTTGATGAATGTCTGTAGTTTATTGGAAATACCTTTCGTGACGCGCCAAGTCTCTGAGCCATACAAGAGCACTGACTTGACGTTGGTGTTGAAAATCCGTATCTTGTTCCGCATGCTGAGTGCAGAAGATCTCCACACTGGTTTCAGGCTAATGAATGCCTGTCTTGCTTTTCCGATTCTGACTTTGACGTCCTCGTCCGTCCCGCCTGTAGTTGAAACAGTGCTTCCTAGATAAGTGAAGGAGGTTACTT